TGTGCACCGCTGGTGCCTAAAACACACACAGCTTGTCTGCTTCCCTGCAGGGCCGTGTTCGGTGTCTGGGGCCAAGGTCGCCCTGACCCCGGTCCCTGGTGTCCTCCACTCGATTCGGACTTGAGTTCATATCCAAGGTCACGTGCGGGCGTGTGTTGCCAGTGTGGGTGGGGGTCATGTTTCTTCCTAAGAGTCGTATTGCCTCCTACTTTTATTTATTATGTAAAGTCAAAACACCCAAGCCACGCTGTGGGCTATGCCCTCAAGCTTTTCCCTGCGGCTCTTGTGTTGGACCTCTGCCCAGGCCCCTCCCCAGGCAGGAGTACCCCTCTCTGGCTCCTGGAGGCACAGTCTTTGGATGGCCTCCGAGGAGCCCAGGAGTTTGGATGAGGATTTCATTGACTCTGATTTAACATTTCCTCCAGGTGTCCGTGTAGGTGACAGATCCAGGCAGCGGGGCTTTGGTCACCGATAGAAACCACAGTATCTTTTTATTGCTTGCCAGTGGCTACAGGTATCTCTTCTCATCACTGCATGCACCTTGTATTTGTCGTGGGGCCTGCCTTTAGATCATATTTATTGTTTTAATAAACGAGCATGTAGGTTACTTTATCAGACCATTTTTTGGTAATGCTGTCCTTAGCCAGATTTCACTATAATTGGGGTCCTTTTGATCCTCTGTATTTTATTCTATTTAAAAACACTCTTGAGGCGCCTGGGTGGCTCGGTCAATTACGTGGCTGACTCTTGATTTTGGCTCAGGTCGTGATCTCAGGGTTGTGGGATTGAGCCCCGTGTCAGGCTCCACACTGGGCATGGAGCCTGCTAAAGATTCTTTCTCTCCCTCACTCTCTGCCTCTCCCCCTGCCCCCCACCCTGGCTGCTTGTGCATGCTTTCTTTGTCTCTCTCAAAAAAAACCAAAATACAGCACTTTCCTCAGAAGGGGCCCGTCGGTGTCACCAGGCAGCTGAAGGGGTCTGTGGCACAAACGGGTCGAAGGACCAGCTAGATGTGGGTCTGCATCCTGACACTGCCCTGCACCACTGTGTGGGGGCCTGGCCTGGGTGAATGCAGGATCCAGGGCCCTGAGGAGCATTTCCTCGAGCAGTGGGGGGGG